CTCAGTAACCCTCCAGTCACTCCCAGTGCCCCCTGGTTCCCCCCAGTGTGTCCCAGTATCCTCCAGTAATCACCCAGTGCCCCCCAAATCCCCTCAACTGTCCCCAGTGTGTCCCCAGATGCCCTTGGCCTTTCTGTGAGCGGGAGGGGCGGAGGCGTTTTTGTGGTCAGAGGGTCCAGGGGGGCTCCTGGGGTGAGATGGAGGGCTGGGGACATCAGGGATGGGGTTTGGGGACAGTGGGGAGGGGTTTGGGGACAGTGGAATTGGGGGTGCCAAGGGGGGAATTAAGGCCATGGGGAGGCCCTGGGAAAAATGGAGACACCAGGGGGGTCTTGGGGTGTTAAGGAGGGAATTGGGGACACCAAGAGGGTCTTGGGGACACCAGGGGGGTCTCAGGACTCACCTGCTGGTGGTGCTGTCCCTCCTCTCCCCCCCCCCCCAGGGCACCATTAACCCCTTCAAATGTCCCCCAACCCACCTTTTCCATTTAATCCTCTCCCCCTACAGATCCCTTTGACCCCCCAATGCCTCCAAGACCTTTTAACTCCCCCAAATGCACCCAAAGCCCCCCAAAACCCTCAAATCCCCATCCAAACTCCCCAGATCCCCCCAAATGTCCCCCAGCCCCCCCTCAAATCACTTCCACACCCTCCAAAGAGGGATCACCCAGGCACCCTGGGACAGGAACACTGGACTGTACTGGGGGCACTGGGCTATACTGGGAGGGCACTGGGGGGGGCTCAGGTGTCCCACGAAAACGTGGCCCAGCTCCAGGAGAGATCCAGGGAGCAGTGAGGAGGTACTGGTCTGTACTGGTCTATACTGGTCTGTGTTGGTTTCTACCCCCAATCCCCAAAGCCCCTCCCCAGCTCCCCCACATCCCTCCCAGACCCCAAGGCCCCCCCAGACCCCTGACTTGGTCCTGCTGCCCCTTGAGCATCTGCAGCTCTTGCAGAACCAGGCATTTCATCAGTAAATTTGCAGGTGACACCAAGCTAGGGGGTGTGTTGATGTACTGGAAGGCAGGAGGGCTCTGCAGAGGGACCTGGCCAAGCTGGATCCATGGGCTGATTGCAAGGGGATGAGGTTCAAGCAGGCCAAGGGCTGGGTCCTGCCCTTTGTCCACAAGAAACCCCGGCAGCCCCCTGGGCTGGGACCAGAGTGGCTGGAGAGCAGCCAGGCAGAAATGGAGCTGGGAGTGTGGATTGACAGGAAGTTGAACAGTAGGCAGAGTGTGCCCAGTGTGATATTAGAAAAGCAGGATAAGTTCTGGGATGGTTATAGAAGGAGAAGGAAGCCCACAGGCCAGTGCAAGCAGGCAGCCCTCAGCTTGCACATCATGTCCCCTCCCTGCAGGTTCATGTCCTTGAGCCCAGGCCCTGAGGTGAGCCTGAGAACTGGCACGGAGGTGAGCCCAGAGGTGTCCCTGAGGTGAGCCTAAGTGCAAGGCAGAGGTGCTGCTGAGGAAGGAGAGCCCCGTGGTGGGGAACAGTCGAAGCTGTGAGTGCCCAACCCCAAAAAGGTGCTGTCTCCATCCCTTGTGTGCCAGGTGAGTTGGGGCTTTGCTGCAGAGATGCGGGCACTGATTTGAGCGACTCCAAGTGCTGAGATGGTGGGCACCCAGGAATACAAACTGTGCCTGGCCACGGAGCCTGCAAGGAGGAGCAGAGACAGCAGTGGCAGTGTGGGGGGTCAGGTTTTCCCTGTGCCTTCCCCTGCAGGCCCTGGCTGCCCTGCTGGGCCCCTGTCAATCCCCATCAGGTCCCTGCCCGTCCCCCCCGGGCTGAGATCCCCCCAGGAATTGCCATGGAACTGAAGCTGCTGCCATCCCCCCCCTGCAGCCGCTGCCCCAGGCAAGGGAGCAGCAAAGGCAGGGCCAGGAGCAGATGCAGAAGCAGGGGAGCACTGGGTTGGATAAAACAACCAGGGCATTTGGTACACTTGATTTGATGGTTTGGAGAAACAACCCCGGAGTGGCAGAGGGTCAGATAACCTCGAGTAACAGCCCTGGCAAGTTTTAAGTGACACTACATTAATACAGCTCTTGATTAATTTATAGCAACACAATCAGGTGCTCATTAAATTATCTCACTCCCCTCATCCTCCAAATTAAACCACATTTTTTTGGCTAATCTTCATATTTTGGAGAATTTTTTGGCTGAACCTTAACTTTTTGCAGTTTGTGAGGGAGCTCATCTTGCTATTTCTGAGAGGTTTTTTTCCTGAATCTTGGTTTTTGGAGGTTTTTATGGTCACAGGATGCCCGGTGAGTTCTAGAGATGGACTTGGGCAGGAGGAACCCCCAAGCCAATGTGCACACCCCTTGTTTTCCCCCCCATCAGGATTTCTCTTTCCCAAAGCTTGGGCGGATGGAGGAGGAGGCTGCGAGGAAGATGCCGCGGGCCCCCCAGGCAGATGAGGAGGAAGTCAGTGCCCCTTTTGGTTGGTCTTGTGCTGGCTCTGGCAGCCAAGCATGGCCCTCAGCTGCAGGACAACCCCGCTGCCGCCGCTGTCCTGCCGTGGTCAGAGTTGGGGGGATGTCCTTGACCTTCCCTCTGGGCCAGCGGCAAATCCCCTCCCTGTCCTTTTTGCTTCCTGCCCCAGGCCCCAAGCTGAGGACGGAGAGCACAGAGGACAAATCCCCCCAGCAGACCCTGGTGGGAGAGGCTGTTTTGAAGGGTTCCACGGCAAAGGAAGGCAGTGGGGAGGAAATGACCTGGAGATCCCCCCACAGGAGGGGCTCCAAAGCCAACCCCGGGTACTCTGAGGAGGAAAGACCCAACCTGTGCCAAGAAGGTGGCAGGAGCTTGAGCTGGAGCTCCAACCTGGTGGTCCCTGAGCAGCCTCCCAGCAGGGAGAAGCCCTTCAAGTGCTTGGAATGTGGGAAGAGCTTTAGGAAGAGCTCCCACCTCCTCAGCCACCAGCACATCCACACTGGGGAACTGCCCTACACATGTAGGGAATGTGGGAAGGGCTTCAGACAGAGCTCCCACCTGATCCAACACCAGCGCATCCACACCAGGGAACAACCCAGGAGAGGGGTGGGAGAGGTGGGCTAAGGGGATGGGGGAGAGCAGGAGCGGGGTTGCCGTGGGGGTCCCTCCGTGTCCCCATGCCTTTATCCCTGGAGAGTGGGGGAGGTTGGAGAGAGGAAGGAACTTGGCCCCCCTGTGACGAGCCAGCAGTCAGGGCCATACTGTTGGTGCCAAATTGCCCCTGGTCAGACTGAACCCAGAACCCGCCCCCGTGTCAGGGGACCAGATCCGCTCCCTGCTCTCATTGCCCTGGGGCAGCCTCTGGTGTCTCCTCGCCTGTAGGGCTGTTTGGTTGCCTTGGGCACAGCCAGCCCTTGTGCAGGGTTGTGCCTTTGGGGGCTCTTGGGGATGGGCGGGAGGTGTTTTTTGGGGGTGCTGGGCTGGATTGGGGGCAGACCCCCGGCGGTGGGCAGGGGGATACGGGTTCCCCCCCACTGTGGGGGTTGGTGTTGCTGGGTCAGGCCCCACCGACTCCATTGTCAGCCCGGTGCTGGTGGGGGGGAAACAGCGGTTATGGGGGCCCCCCAGGAGTGTTGGGGATGGATGTGGAGCCCAGGAGCTGCCAAGTGTGGAGGGCGGAGTGGGGCAATGCCGGAGCTGGGGGAGCCCCGGAGGCCTGGAGGGGGGAGCACAGAGAGGGAGGAGCCCTGGGACCCCTGGGAACCTGAAATGGGAAGCATGGAGAAGGGGAAGCCTGGACAGTTGGGACCCCTGGGATCCCTGGGACAACAAAGTGCAGACACTGGAGATGGGGAATGTCTGGGAATGTGGCACCCCGAAGGTGAGAGTCAGAGGAGAAGGGACCCTTGGTACCCTGAACGCTCTCAGCATCACTAAGTGGGACCGCCAACATCCCAGACGGGAGACCCTCTGAACCCCAGAGGGGAGAGACCAGAGAGGGGGAACTTCTAGGAAAGATGTTTTGGGCTAATCTTGATATTTTGGAGTATATTTTATGCTGAACTTTAGCTTTTTGCAGTTTGGGGGGCATTAATCTTACTATTTCTGAGGGGGTTTTTACCTGAATGTCAGTGGTTTGGATTTTTCTTGGCTGAATCTTGGTGTTTTGGAGGTTTTTATGAATACAGGATGCCTGGTGAGTTCGAGAGATGGACTTGGGCATGAGGAACCCCCAAGCCAATGTGCTCAACCCTTTGTTTTCCCCCCCATCAGGATTTCTCCTTCCCAAAACTTGGGCGGACGGAGAAGGAGGCTGCGAGGAAGAGGAAGATGCTGCGGGCCCCCCAGGCAGGTGAGGAGGAAGTCAGTGCCCCTTTGGACCGGTCTTGTGCTGGTTCTGGCAGCCGAGCATGGCCCCCGGCTGCAGGACAGCCCCGCTGCCGCCGCCATCCTGCTGGGGCCAGGGTTGGGGAGATGTCCTTGACCTTCCTTCTGGGCCAGCAGCAAATCCCCTCCCTGTCCTTTTTGCTTCCTGCCCCAGGCCCCGAGCTGAGGACGGAGAGCACGGAGGACAAATCCCCCCAGCAGACCCTGGTGGGAGAGGCTGTTTTGAAGGGCTCTACGGCGCAGGAAGGCAGCAGGGAGGAAACGACCTGGAGATCCCCCTACAGGAGGGGCTCCAAAGCCAGCCCTGGATGCTCTGAGGAGGAAAGACCCAGCCTGTGCCAGGAAGGCGACTGGAGCTTGAAGGGGAGCTCAGACCTGGTGGTCCCTGAGCAACCTCCCAGCAGGGAGAAGCCCTTCAAGGGCTTGGAATGTGGGAAGAGCTTTAGGAAGAGCTCCCACCTCCTCAAGCACCAGCACATCCACACTGGAGAACAGCCCTACACATGTGGAAGAACTTCAGCCAGAGATCCACCCTCTGCACCCACCAGTGCATCCACACTGGGGAATGACCCTACAAGTGCTTGGAATGTGGGAAGACGTTTCAGACTAACTCACATCTCCTCCTGTACCAGCGGATGCACACGGATGAGAGGCCCTTTCTGCTGCATCGACTGTGGGAAGGGCTTCAGGCAGAACTCCACCCTCATCACCCACCGGCACATTTACACTGGGGAGAGGCCCTACAAGTGTGGGGAGTGTGGGAAGAACTTCACCCTCAGCTCTGCCTTGACCAGACACCAATGGACTCACCAGTAAGGGAAACCGTTTGAGTGCCCCGACTGCAGGAGGAGCTTCAACTGGTGCTTCCACCCTGAATGATCCCCCTGATGGTGAGGCAACCCATGGAGTCCAGTGACTGTCAGTCCATCCCTTTCTACCAGAAAGTGCCAGTCCCCTTTCCCAGGGGCAACTTCTTCCAACAGAACCCTTCTTGGGGGGTGTGTGGAGATTCCTGCCTTGGCTGGGGACCTCCCCAAGATCACTCCTGGAGGTTGAGAGCAGAGATCTCCTGTTGTAAGGCAGAAATTGTGTGAACAATTTCTTTTGCATTTCTGAGATTTTTGCCTTGGCATGGCTGGGTGCAGACAGTAAAAAATACTGTGCCATTAAGATGACTACAGGACCTGAAGTTAGAACAAAGGTGGATTCATGCCAGATGCCA